ATATATATATATATATGAGTGCACTGTATACCTAAGAACTACAATATGTATTCTAGGGTTTTGTATAGGATGCAACTTTGAGTCTTTAAGGGCATGGTAAAGAAGGTGATTTCAGGGATAGGATACAGTAGGGGCAATGTTTATGGAAATAGCCACTCTAATACTCATAGTCTGAGGCAGACCCAAGTAGAGGTAAATCTGGAAAAGTAGAGAGGAGGAGTTGGATTATGACTTTTGTCCTATATGAGAGATTCTGTCTTACAAGCAGCAGAAGCTATTGAGTTTTGATCAAGAGATAAGCCTAGTTATAGTTTTAAAAATAAATGTCTTTCCAGTAATAGTGTGGAAGATTGACTGGAGTGGTGTAAAATTGAAGAGATGGGTTCCAATTGGGAGGGTATGGTCTAGGTAAGTCGAAGAGAACCTGAAGAAAGGTAGTAGCATCAGGGACATAAAGGAGAAGAGGCATTTTGGTGAAATTAAAACCTAATCTGCAGATTTGGTGACTGAATAGAATTGGGAGAGAAAGACATAGCACAAGGTTTGTGGCTGGGATGACTGACCATCCTGTGGTAGCATTCATAGAAATGAAGAAGGCAGAAGGATGAGCAGGACGATAGAAGGGGCAGTAGTGGGATATCCAAGTGCCACCTGTTGTAGAATATAGGTAATTCTCAATGTGAATAAAGTAATAGGTTAAGAGTTATAAGCATATAAGTGGTCCTTCATGTAAGGAATGGATGGAAAATTCTATATAATGAGAAGAAAGCCAAGAACAAAGACCAAGGGAACACTGAAGGAAAGAATAGTTGTTGAGGTGGAAAAAATATTTGGGGGTGGGGGAGAAGGCTTGAATGGAGAGACTTTCCATAAGAAGAGAGTCATATTAGGGTTCTTCAGAGAAGCAGAAGCAGTGAAGGGATTTACTGTGAGGAATTGGCATGAATGATATGATTACAAAGGCTGAGAAGTTACACTATTTGCTGATCACAAGCTGGACATCCAGGAAGGCCACTGGTGTAGTTCTAGCTTGAGTCAAAGGCCTGAGAAACTAGGGAAATTACGGTATAATTTCCAGTCCAACATTAGCAGAAGATCGATGTCCCAGCTCAAGCAGCAGGCAGAAAACAAACAACAAAAAACAGGATAGGAAGTTCTCCTTCCTCTATTTTTTATTCTTTTCAAATACATACAAATAATGTTGAACCTGGGGATTCACTGGCCCAGTGGAGTTGATGCATAGAACTAACCATCACTGGAACCACAACTGCTATCAAAACCCTAAAGAGATCACAAAGTGTCACAGGCCACTGTGGGTCCTTGCTTCAATGGTAATGGAAATTAAAACTGAAGTTAGCAGTACAAATTTGCAGGCAAAGGAGTCAAAGGAGAAAGAAGAAAAATGGGAAAGGACTTTAGCTTTCAGAGGAGAGGTACTACAGGGAACACACTATTGTAATTAGATTGCAATGGCCAAGGAAGGAGGCCAGCTTTTAAGGTTTTATTGAAGTGGCATAGGGTCTGGCTGATCATTATCTTGGTGCAGACTGATTCCCATGAGATGATTGCTCCTGCTTGGGTGGGAGCAGCCTGTTTTGCAGAGTCTCTGTTAAAATTCAGAGTGCCCACAGAATCAGGACAATGACCAGAGACTTGTAGGCACCCATTTGCCTAGTGGGAGTGTGGAGCAGGACATTATCAAAGCTGGCACTTGAATGATCCCACAAATCTCTGATCTTGGTGTCTTCAGTCTGAAAGGGGGTGATATAGTTTAGGCAAATTTAGGACTAATAAATCTTGTAATACCAATTTTCAGAAGACATTGCCTTAGTACTTCATACATCTACATGTGGAGCGGAGCACAGACCTGACCTAAAGTTTTAAAGTAGTAAAGGAGGAAGATACAAAATGAAGGCAACTGGGCTCGGGATTTAGTTCAGTGGTTCCACCTCCTGCCTTGCAAAATGAAGGTGAAGATGCAAAACTTTATCCTGCATTTAGTTACATCCTTTTGGCATCTGCTTCCCCCAACCCCTTGGCATCTGTTGGCTATTGGTTTGTAGCAAAAGCAATTTTGAGTCTCTGGCTGCCTCTGAAGAAAACACAAATTATGCTTTTAATGGGTAACAGATGAAGGGCCAGGAGTTAGTTTGTCCTCTGTCCTACCCGTGATGATCTCCAACAGTTTTATTTTCTCATCTAGTTTATTCTGAAGGCATCCTGGCTTTAATGCTGCATCTGTTTCTTGAGGTCTGTAAGAGCACATAGCATACTTCTAATGGGGAATAGGTCCTGAGTAAGGCCCAAGGTGTACCATTCTGTCTCCATGGTGGTGTCTGTCTCGGGATGAGAAGTATGGTGGGCGTTTTCTTTTTTGAAAACCCCCCTTGTTTCTTTCTTCCTCTTTTGGTAATAGTACCCTGATTTCCTCTTACTGAATAGCCGATCTCCCCATGTGTACAGCTGTGGTAGGAATGTCATTTGAAGCATTCCACATGGCCACGCCCAAGCTCCAGCATGGACAAGCAGCCTCAGCCCAGCCGAGTGAACTTAGTCACCCAGGACTTGGAAACTTGAGCCAGGTGATCCCGTGATGAGATAAATGTAAGGGCAGCAAAGGTGCCTTATCTGATGAGACTCTGGTTAACTTTTGCAACTTATAATCATTCCTTTCATTTCAGGGGCTGTGATAGCTTTTCGATAAATTCCTTTTAAGC